ATTATCTTACAGCCTTTCTTCATCTTGAGGGTTTCTGTGGGACCCTCTGTACCTCTGCTGCCTGTGTATGCAACTCACTTAGGGAACACATCCATGTTTCCTATGGCATTTTTGGATCATGGTGCTTATGAAGTGCCCCCATCTGGGTGCCTGTTCTAAAAACAGCATCTTTGAGCAGTCTGTGATTGCCTCTGGGCCTCCTGGCATGCCTGGCTAAACTGCAACTCTCTCTGGTAGCCTGCCTGCCCTTCCCAGCTTGCTGACTAGCTGTACCATTAAGTTGTAGCATTTTATGGCTGGTTTCCTCCCTTAACACTTAGTCACAATCTGTTTCAAATTGCCATTCCCCTGTTCTACATTATATTACTTTTTTTTCTTCTTTTAAATGCCCTCCCCCCCCCCCCCAACCAAAGTGTGATCCATGTTATGTGGATGGGGTTCAGTGGACCAGGCATAGCAAGATGTGTGGAATTGGGCTCACCAGCTGTGGTGAACTGGAGAGAAAATAGGCTGGTCTGGTCCCAGAAGTGTAAGAAATGTGGTGAATTTGAATGGCTGTCTACAAAAGGGGGAAATGGTGATGTCCAGAAAACTCTGAGAAATGGTGAAGAAAAGATGTTGCTTGGCCCTTAGCCGGGCTGTGAAGCAACAGGTAAAATGTCTGATGGTTGCAGTGTGCCCTCAGGAGGTGGGTGGTGGTACTAGCTCCAGGTGCTTTAGGACTCTGGCTGACTGAATAAGACAATCCAGGTCCCTGGTCTGACCACTGCCTTTTCAAGCAGAGATAAAATGCCACTCACTTTTGGAACTCTCTCTTTTCCTTTGGGAGCAAGTTTCTATCTCCATACTCCCAAGTAGTGTGTGTGTGGGGGGGGGGGGGGGGGGGAGATTTCCCAAAAGTTTCCAGAGTGTTTGTTGGGGAGAGGAGCATGATAGCCCACAGACATAGTGGAGCCTGAAGAAACTAAGCCTACTACTTTTCAGGAGAGGACAAGCAAGGAACTTGGAAACCCCACTGTTGCCTCGCTTTTGCTTTTTGCTCCATGTCTGGGTCTTACAGGAACTGATACAAGACTGAAGGACTGCTTGTAAATGGCAAGTAGTTCTGGGCCTCACAAT